AAATCAATTAATAAGCATTAGAGACCAATCTTACATAATACTAGACAAATTTTTGGGCATGCTCACCTGTTCAATTCATAAAGAGCATGCATCTACTTTATTTGGAAAAATGTATGTATCAGTATTCGGGAAAATGACAAAGCATACATTTTTGTCATCAATTTCTGGGCATGCACCGTGGTCACATATTCAATTCAAAAAGAGCATGCGATCTCCAGAAACTATACAGCTAAATCAAACAAAGAAAAAGTAGAAGAAAAGGAGACAAATAGAAGAAAATGTTATGACCGTTGAATATTTTTCATGCTTTTTTTCTTATCGAGTTTGTTTGTTATAATATTTTTTTCTCTTGTCTTCATTCTAGCTCAATAAATGGTGTTTAATATCATAACACATTTTAAATTAATATTATAATTTTTTAATTACTAATTTGACTTTATTGATATTAATTATTATGCACATAATTTTTTATGAGCATTTCATATAAATTTAATTATTATTTAAGGACTATATAAAAGTATTAAAAAGTACCAAAAACTTTTTATACGATGGCGATGTGGCGGTAATTTTCTACGATGTATTGAATGTCCTTTCGTCCCATTTCCTTTTGGTTGTATAGTAAGCATTAGTTAAGACTTCTCCATTAACCTGAGAAGCCTGCAGTTTCCTACTAGAAGCTGCTAACTTTTTATTTATCACCCATTACATCAGATGGCAAACAAACAAAGCTAGATAGATACTTGGCAATGTACTAATATCACAAGGAAGTTGCATGACAAAGGGTCACATAATAATTGAAGATATTTTTCGCAGTAAGAACAAGGGCGATGACATGGCAATGATATCCCATAGAAGAGAAAAGGAAAGAAAAAAAATATCCAAGACGATGGAAACAATCCCGATCGTCCATCTCAGCAAGTAAAAGAGTTCCTTATCCAAATACCAAAATATCATTACCACTCACTCAACTGAACTGTGGACTAAATAGAATCCCAACTGAGCACCATATAAGATCATCTGAAGCACAAAAACTGAACAAGAAGAAAGGTATCAAAAGGCATCAAAATGCAGTCAGCTTTAACTACCACTATTCCTATGGGAAGCAGCTTCTCTATCAACTCACCACCAAAAGTTTTGGTTAGCTCAAACAGTAGTAGCAGATTTGCTTCCTTCAAACAGAATGCCCTTGCTGTCAACTATAACTCCACAATCTCGTAAGTCCCACTCGTAAATCTCAATGTAAAATAAATACATGTATTTCTTCATGTGAATGATGATGAAAAAGATGCTTCCACTTTCCCTTTTAGCGTTTTTCCTGCAGAAGCGTGTGAAACAATTGGGGGAGAGACCTGTTTGGCTGACATGTACCCAGAAGTGAAGCTTCAACCACAGGCCGAAAAGCCCAAAGGTGCTAGACCAGAGGCAATAGAGAGGGAGTACATGGATTACACAGATCCCAGGACGTAAGGATTTTTCGTTTGAGTAGTTAGCATATCTCAATCATAGTATTTAACCAGCCAATAGTCGAGAGAAGAATTAATAATCTATACATATACAGGGTGCTGCTGGGTGAAGCTTGCGATGTTCTGGGAGGAGAATTTTGTGAGCAGGCGTACCAAATGGGAATTCGCTAGAACAAAGCTCTTAATATAATGATGTGTTCTGTGTGTATAAGTAACGCCCAATTAAGTACAGCATAGTTTCCTGTTGAATATAATATGAATGCCATTGCTTACCTCAACCAAAGAGAATTGTCGAACAAATCTTTCTTACGGTACAAAAATGTCTGCCCCTTTACGACATAATGATGCATTGGACACCATCAATACCTCGAGGCGGCCTCTACTACACTACTGCAACTCAATCTATATAAAATTGCAGCCATATATTCCTTAACAGTTTTGGGATGACACGTTTTTGTATTAAAAGAATTGTGGATTTACAACGATCTCTGATGAACCCCTCCAAAAAGGCTTTGGCGTTATTTCTTCATATCAGACCATCCCCAGAATTATGTACAGATACAAGTTCTGGAAGATCACTCTCAAAGAAAGCGGCATGAAGAGCCCTAACGCATTCTTCAGATTCGCTGTCGTTGACTATAAATGAAATGTTAACTTTTGAGGCACCTTGAGATATCATTTGAACGTTTACTCCAACAGTCCGGAGCACATGAAAAGCCTGCCCACATCACACAACAAATACAAGTCTCAGTACATCTCACATGAAAAAAATCACAGGCATCTTGAAACTTAACATTTCAGTTTTCTTAAGACAAATTTAACATGTTTTTCTTTACTCTGTTTTCTTGTTCGCGTTTAATATATCTCTAAGCCCTAACACAATATATATATATATATATATATATATCAAGGAATATATTAACTTCACTAGTGTGACAACTCAAAGGAGGATAAAAAGAAAAATAGCAATAAGCATGCACCTTCTCTAGTATCAGTGAAGATCTTTGAACATTCCCAATGAGCGAGATGATGGATCTATTCTGTAAAAGATTTACCACTGCAATTTTTTCAAGTTCTTCAACCATATGATCCAGTTCCTGTAACAGATTTCAGAAGCCAGACCAAAAACATGTCGTCAAGACGCTGGAGACACATGAATGTGTAAGATATTTCTACAACTTCAATAATTTCAGAAGTTTGATGCATAATAATGGAAGAACTGAAGTCTGATGTCATACACTTGCCTGCTGGATCAACTCTCTGCTCCAAAACTTGGAAGGGTCTAATGTCAAGGAGATGCTCACCTCACTGGTTGCTACAACATCTACAGATATGCCTAAATCCTCAGAAGTTGAGAAAACCTGAAGCAACACAATATCAAGTCAACATTAGGAAACAGTGAGATACAATCATACAAGCTCTCTTGTCTGATCATCTGCATGCATTCATGATTCACCTTAGCAAGAAACCCATATTGGCCAAGCATTCTAGTGCTGACAATATCCAACATTGTGACATTTCGTTTCAAAACAATGCTTGTAAGTACTGCCTGAAAGAGAGGGATGCAAAATGTTAAGCGTCAAATTTCTGAAAAGGAAAAAAAAAATATATTTTTGTTTCATAAAACCATGATGGCAACCTGGCTCATATCTCTTGTTCGGGAAATAAGAGTTCCTGGAGCTTTAGAATTATAAGAGTTCTTCACTCGAACAGGAATGTCAGCCTCTCTAGCAGGTCTCATGGACTGTGGATGGAGAACCTTTTCAACCCAAAGAAAAACATGAATTTTGTAATGGACTAGATCAAAATGGCTCAATTAAATTCTAGTGCTTCTTCTATTAGTGAAGAAGTTTCTAGAAAAAAAAAATATATCAAACGGCGCAATGCACCTTGGGTCGCTACGGAAACAGTCACCTTGTATAATTACAAGGGTAAGGTCTGCGTACAACTGACCCCCCAGACCCCAACCTGTTGGGAATATACTGGGTATGTTGTTGCTGTTGTTGCTATATTTTCAAGCACGCACAGAGAGAGAGAGAAACACTCGTACTTCTCAGTTTCTCAAGCAACAAACTAACATGTAGGCAGCTTTGTGAGTTACAGCCACCTACTTGTTAATCAATTTCCCGAAACACAAACATAAATAACTGAAAATTTTTGTTTTAGAATGTCAGTTTAATCTGCACTAGAGGACTACAAAATTTATTTATTTATTTATTTGCATGGTTCCAGAATGGGTATTAAAACAGGTATTCTGTACCCGGAAACAATTGATCCGGTATATTCTTAAAGCCACAACGTAACTTGGAAAACTAAATTTGACTTTCCATTTTGCTTTTCCTGAGCTAAGGAAATTCAAATCGTAATGTATGATGACAATCGTAGATAACACATATAACTTTCTGAACATGCAAATGATACCTGAGCGCCAAAGTACGCAAGTTCAGCTGCCTCATCAAAAGTCAGGTAGGGCACTGGCTCCGCACCAGGATATATGTTAGGATCACAAGTTAAAACACCATCTACATCTTTCCACACCTAAAAAAATTATACACCAGGATATATGCTAGGATCACTAAGATACATTCTACAACACCATAGTTGTATTCATTCACATCTTAACAAGTCAACATGCAAATAATGATTAAATGCATGTAACAGAACATGTAATAAGTGGAATGAATGGGGAGTGATTTATTCATGCATATCATGTGTACAGAAAAGGAGTATGAAGAGTCAATATACACTTACTTGAATTTCCCTAAACCCCAAAGCTTTACCAATTGTTGTGGCAGTCAAATCACTACCGCCCCTTCCCAATGTAGTAACAGCACAACTTTTCCAGCCCTACAATCAGAAGTACTTTAGGGCCCAACAAAACCATGAATTAAATGAAATCAAATACAAGGGACATGATTTTATGAGGATTTTGCGATCCATAAATGGCGAACCTTCCCAAGGAATCCAGTCACAACAGGAATTGCTGGATCACTATTCCAATCTCCAACCAACCTCTTTGCGACAGCCGGATAAGTCGCTTCCAAAATGTCCGCATTTGTAAAATCATCAGTAGTGATAAAACCTATTTCAAAGGCATCATACTACAAAAAGAAATCAACTTGCATTATTGAGCGAAAGAAGCACCTTGAATTACAAAATCTTTTAACAGAACATCATGTTGTATCATAAACATATGAAATATGTTCTTTTCATCTATTTGCCAAAGTTTGTACTCATAAATATCTTTCACCTCAAATGGGTGACCCTTGCACACCAGAAAGTACGATATATTACGAAGATAAATATATTCAAAGGAAGTCAGAAGCATACTTGGCGAGCTTTGGCACCAATCTTATTCAAATATGCTGCAAAAATCCTAGTGGACATGCACTCGCCAAAGGAGACAAGGTAGTCTTTTGTTCTTAAAGTCATCTCTTTCATCATAGCAATACCATTCAGAAGCTGTTCCAACTCAGAGAGGTGTTCTGCGAAAGATTTTAGGGAAGAAAAAGGGAACAGTTAAAAGAGAATCATACCGCTGATCTCAATATTTATGAGCAGGGAATCTTTAAGAAATTGCCAATAATGATAGGACCAAATAAATAATGAATAAATGATAGGAATTCACCAAACAAGAGAAGATCAGCACCAAATCCAGAGATTACACACAAGGTACAAACAGCAAGTGAATAAAACGACAAAATTTATAAGCACAACAGAAATTAACAATAATCTGATGTTGAAAGATTTTTTGTCTAAAGATGAAAACAAACAACTATTACATTTACAATCATCGTCTTCAGAGAGGACACATCCATCTACCACCTTCTCATACGACAATTACATAAAATAATAGATGAAAGTTTTCATACAGCATGTTCGATGTACCATAGAAGAAAAACTCACTTGCAATTATAGATCTTTCCAACCCAAGCTTGTTCAGGGTACTGGTAAAGCAAGCCAATTCCGTCAGAAAAATAGTCACCGGAACAGTAAAAAAGTGGTATAATAAAATACAGGGTTACCTCAAATGCAAATCTTTGATGAAGGCCAGTTCTTCAAGATGAGACACATTAGGAACCCCACAAGTGACCGCCTTTTCTCCTGCCTGGTACACAAGCCAATCTTACCACCTTAAGAAAATTCTTCATCGTGTGAAAGAAGAACCAAATAAACAGTAGAGTTAAAAGAACAAGTACCAGTAGGAGCTTATTGGTTGTTTTCCCCATAGCAGAAAGAACAATGACGGGCCTCTCTTCAGGAAAGCTAAGAATAAGTTCAGCTACTTCTCTCAGCCTCTCTGCCGAGGCAACAGATGAGCCACCAAACTTCATAACACATGTCAGCTCACTAGCAGTTTGTTCAGATGCTTGGTCCTCGACATCATGCTTCTCAGGCAGGCCAACCCTGCCATTCATACAATTGCTTTGAAGGGCCAGCTGTTCACGAGACCCATTCAGCTGCGTACGAGAACAAGGAAGAGAAAGAGGGGTAACAATGTGGCCAAGATTCTGCTGCCCTGGAACTGGTAGAAAGCACGAGGCTCTCCTGGAGTAACATGGATGCGAAGTCACGGTTCCACTTAGATGCAATGTGGTTGCCATGGCCCAAAAACAGTCTGAGAATCAATGGATAGGTAAACGTCCCTATAATCACCAATGAGGAAGTCAGATTTGGGCAGAGAGAGAGAGAGTTGATTGTTGGACTCTCTCCCACTCCACCAAAGGCACAATCCGACTGCAAGCTGACAACCTGTAAATATGGAAAAAAATCAAAACAATTGACCATGGAACATCAATACAAGTACGAGAAACCACACGAAACTACAGAGACAAACCATACGGTCGATTAGATTAAACAATTGATATCGTAGAAAAATGGGGAAAAGAGAAATGACAAACGAATAAGAGGAACTCTGAACAAAATGCTGTAAAGAAGTATTCATTCATCGCGCAGACAAATGTTGATGTTGTTGTCAGATAAAATCGAATTTGATACTTTTAACCAAATAAAATATATGGAGAAAGCGGAAAAAAATGAATGAAATGTAAGAAATAAAAGAGCCTGTTGGTGTGAGGATGATGAAGAAGGGAATGCGAGAGCTCAAGAGAGAGCTGCCGGAAAGCAGCTGTGTATGTATGCTGATAGGAGAAAATGTAAACGGCAGCCGCCGCCGCACCGCAGTATGTATGTTTTGTTTTCAGCTCCGTCCATCTGTTAGGTTCCAAGGGATTGATTCATTGTATTCTTTGCTAAGAGCACCCAGTGCTCTCTTAACAAAAAATCACATGCCACATCAGAAACAGACTTATGCATGATTGGTATGATGGAATGAAATTTGGTAAGAATGGAATGAATTGAATAATAGAATGATTATGGGAATAAAATGAAACATGTTTTGTCATTGATGCATTTGGTATGCAGAATGACATTATTATTTTTTATTATAAAAATAAATAAAAGTTTTTTTAAAAAAATAATATACTTTTAATAAATTATAATGCTTTTTTAATAATATATAAAAATAAAATAAACTATTTTTAATAATATATTTTGAGTAATATATAAAAGTAGAATAATATATTGTTTGATAATATAAAAATAATATATTTTTAATAATATATAAAAATAAAATAATATATTTTTAAATTATATATATATTCTTAAAAGTAATATATTTTTAATAATATCTATTTTATTTTTTAATTAAACAGTAAATAAAAGTAAGTTTTCAATTTTTTATTTGAATTTTATTTTTTAATATAATATATTTTGAATAATATTTAAAAATAAAGTAATATATTTTTAGTAATATATATTCTTAATATCTTTTTTCAATAATATATTTTTAAAAGTAATATATTTTTAATATATAAAAAAATAATATATTTTTAATAATATATAAAAATAAAATAATATATTTTTAAATTATATATAAATACTTTTTTTAGTTTTATTTTTATATAAGTATTTAATATATCTAATTAAAAAATAAATAAAAGTAAGTTTTAATTTTTTTATTTGAATTTTTTTAAAAATAATTTTATTTAATATATTTTAATCATGATTTATATTATATATTATATATTTACTTTTTATTATTATTTGTTAATTTTATTTTTTGAAAA